AGATGTGAAAAGGGACCACAAAGTCATTTCAACTTGACCTCACCTTGTCCCCTCACGTTCAACAGCTGAAAGAAGGCGAGTGCTTGGGGCATGCACACTGCATGTTGGCGGTGCCCGCCTCATAACTGTGCCAGCTTGCGCCTCCATTTCATCATTTTCTTTAGAAGACAGTGGATGTTTCTCTCTTCCTCAATTTGGACTTCTCCAACTCCTCGCTCTCAGAGACCACGGGTATCCTGGCCAACACAGATTGCTCATGTCACACGTGAGGCGCTCGTGGGCTGCACTTTCGCCATTGGCCACGGGGGAGTTATGGGCAGAGAAGCTCCCAAGCATGGCCTTCCTGGCCTGGTTGGTCCTGCGAGGACACATTCTGCTTGCGGATGACGACCCCCGTGAGCAGGAAGCATGCGAAGCCTCCCAGTGAAGGTATTGGGGGGCAGGAGGCTGTCCCAGAAGAGCCACCAGAGGGTGGGGTTCATCTGCGCCAGGTCACTGGGGCCCCATGATGATGAAAATATGCATATCCGCTGGATGAAAGACGTGAGCCTGGTCCAGCTCTTCCTGCAGGCTTCCACACCTGAGTGTGACTCTGCCGCCTGCTCTGCATTTGCCGCGATGCTCACTGAGCACACACGCCAGCGAGTGAAGAGCCATAAGCGGCGACCACCAGCAAGCGTCTGATTCAGTTTCTTCTGTTTATTTTCTATTGTTATGGGGTCACATCTGGTGATGCGCAGGGATCACTCCGGGCAGGCTCAGACCAAATGGGGTGCCAGGGATTGAACCTGGGCCCCTCACAAGCCAGGCAAATGCCCTCCTCGCTGTGCTATGGCTCTAGCCCTAGCCTGTGATTCAACCTCTCTCTTTTTTTTTTTTTTGTGCTTTTTGGGTCACACCCGGTGATGCTCAGGGGTTACTCCTGGCTCTGCACTCAGGAATTACTCCTGGCATTGCTCAGGGAACCATATGGAATGCCGGGGATGGAACCAGGGTCGGCCATGTGCAAGGCAAATGCCCTCCCCGCTGTACTATCACTCTAACCCAGTTCAACTTTTTTTTTTGGGGGGGTCACACTCGGCGATGCACAGGGGTTACTCCTGGCTCTGTACTCAGGAATTACCCCTGGCAGTGCTCAGGGGACCATATGGGATGCTGGGAATTGAACCCGGGTCGGCCGCGTGCAAGGCAAATGCCCTACCCACTGTGCTATTGCTCTAGCCCCTCAACTTCTTTAAAGATGGAGAACTTATGCAGATCCCTTACTCCTTGTGGGAGTTTGGTAGGTTGCATCCTTCCAGGGATGGGTCTGTTTAATTGAGGTTATCAAATGTGTGGTCGAGTTGTCTGTAAGTTGTTCCCTAAACACCCACAGGAGCTGCTGTGATGTCCCTTCCTCTGTGAGGATATTAGTTCGTGAACTCTTTTCCTCTTAGGCTTTAAATGATTAACATCCAACGACTTGCACAGCCACAAATTCATGTGTTGAAACCTAATTCCCCCAGAGTGATGGGAGGAGAAGGTGGAGCCTTGGGGCAGCGATGGGATCTTGGGGACAGATTCCACATTTCTGCCTGCAGTGCCCAGGAAGCAAACCCGGCAAGCCAGCCCACCCTTCCCAGACTGTGAGGACATGACGGGAAGCGAGCGGTCAGCAACTCAAAGGGATTTCAGCAGAGGCAGAAGGCGTCGCCTCCACAGTTAGATGTCCAGTCCCCGGACTCTGAGGAGTGAGTGTACACACTGCTGCATCAATGAGCAGCACTTTGCTAAAACAGCCCAAAGTGTACTAACCTTGATTTTACTCATCTTTAAAAGGACCAGCTTTTATTTGGGGGGGTGGGGGGCACATGCGGTGATGCACAGGGGTTACTCCTGGCTTTGCATTCAGGAATTAGCCCTGGCGGTGCTCAGGGGACCATATGGGATGCTGAGAATTAAACCCGGGTTGGCCGCATGCAAAGCAAACACTCTACCTGCTGTGCTATCACTTCAGTCCCAGGACCAGCTTTTTTAAAAATTTATTTTTGATGTTTTGGACCACGCCCAACGATGCTCAGGGGTTACTCCTGGCTCTGTACTCGGGAATCACTCCTAGCAGTGCTCAGGGAACAATCTGGGATGATGGGTATCGAACCCTGGTAGGCCACGGGCAAGGTAAGTGCCCTACCCACTGTGATATCACTCCAGCCCCGAATCTGATTTAAAAAAAAAACAAACAATAGGGGTGGTGGTGGTGGTGGTGATGGCGGTGGTGGTAGGACCACTCTTGGCAGTGCTTAGGGCCAGGTGGGGCTGGAGAAGAGAGCCCGGAGTCCCTTACGTAAATGAGGCATCTCCCAGGCTCTCTGAGTGCCTTTCCTCAGCCCCTCCAAGGTGGAGGGATGGGGTGTTTCCTATGACCTCAATTCTCTTACGGTTCTAACAAGAGGACCGGAAAGAGTACAGCAGTCAAGGAGCTGGCCACACATATGGCTGACCCCCAGATCCATCCCTGGCACCACATCCAGTCCCCCAAGCACTGCCAGGAATAAGTCCTGAGCACTGTCAGGTGTGCCCCCCCCAAAAAAAAAACCAGGGGGCCGGGGGTGGGGGAAAGGGGGGAAGCTCTAACATGAGTTTTCAATTGTTCAATTTGTTTAGTTCAATTTGTTTTGTTTAAATTGTTTTCGATTGGCAATTTCCAAACTCCTTCATGCCAGATTGGCAAGCAGGAATTATGATTTCCTTTCTCATTTGAGTTACACTGAAGTCGTTTCTGCTACTGGCAAACAAAAGAATCCCTCTGAAAAAGGTACCCTCAGAGAGCAGGTTTCTTTTTAGACGCCCTCCCCAGTGAACAGCTCTTTCAAAGAGTAAATCGGGGCTTAGAGATGGGATAAAATTACTCACAGCTCAGAACAGGTAAAAGAAAACTGCCCAGCACAGCTATCAGAAGCCCAGTCCCTTTATTTCATATGTAGAAAAGACAGGCCACGTTCTCATACATCCTTGACAAAACTTTAGAAGATGAGTCAACAGCATCCATTAACTGTAAATAAATGTGCAAGCTTTTGGCCAACAAATCTGCCTCAAGAAATCAACCCTAATTACACATGTGCACGTAACTCACTGTAGCACTCTTTGTGGGAAGAACTGGGAATGTTCTAAATGCCCATCAACGTGTATTTCACTGTCATGGTCACGGTCACGGTTCTCCCGTTGTTCATCGATTTGCTCGAGCGGGCCCAGTAATATTGTGAGACTTGTTGTTACTGTGTTTGGCATATCAAATATGTCACGGGGAGCTTGCCAGGCTTTGCCGTGCAGGCGAGATACTCTCGGTAGCTTGCTGGGTGCTCCGAGAGGAGTGGAGGAATTGAACTCGGGCCGGCCACATTGGCCACGTGCAAGGCAAATGCCCTACCACTGTGCTATCACTCCAGCTTTCACAGTCAATAGAAAAGAATGGGGCAGGGACCGCCCCTCTTGGAGAGCCTGGCAAGCTACCCAAAGTATCTCGCCCACATGGCAAAGCCTGGCAAGCTACCCGTGACGTCCTGGATATGCCAAACACAGTAACAAGTCTCACGATGGAGGCATTACTGGGCCTGCTCGAGCAAATTGATGAACAATGGGAGGACAGTGGGGCAGGGGCTGGAGAGGCAGTACATGGGAGACAGTCTGACAGTTAAAGCACTTAACTGCCAGGTTTGACCCCCGGCATCCCATGTGGTCCCCCAGGCACCACCAGGGGTGATCCCTGAGCGTAGAGCCAGGAGTAAGCCCTGAGCATGGTTGGCTGTGACCCACAAAAATAAGACAAAAAGAATAGGATAGGTTTCTATATAGCCCTCAGAAGTTCTCAAGGCATGAGGGCATGGCAGTCAATGAAAAGAGCAGGGCTCTTAAGCCAGGGGCTGGAGCGATAGCACAGCGGATAGGGCATTTGCCTTGCATGCGGCCGACCCGGGTTCAGTTCCCATCATCCATATGGTCCCCTGAGCACCGCCAGGAGTGCTTCCTGAGTGCATGAGCCAGGAGAAATCCTTGAGCATCGCTAGGTATGACCCCCCAAAAAAAAAAGGCCAGCACAAACTTGAGGACACACATTTCTCAGCTGTGAGAACTTCTATAATAAGCTCTGAGTCTCCACTCACTCTCTCACGCCAGGAGATAGCAGAGACTCAGATCTTCATGTGTTTGGTTTTCTTTTTCTTTTATTGGAGCAGGGGGAGGGTCTTGCTTTTGGGGGAGGGTCACACTCGGCGATACTCAGGGCGATGCCAGGGACCAAACCCTGGTCAGCTGCACGCGAGGCAAACACCCTCCCCACTGTACTCATCGCTCGGCCCATGTGTTTGGTTTTCCTTCTGTCCCATTTGCAGTGCATTTATGGATCGGGGAGACAGCACAGGGCTTACAGAGCTTGCCTTCCATGCAGCCAACCCCAGTTCTATCCCCAGCATCACATAGGGGCACCAAACACCGCCGTGAGTCATCCCTAACCACAGAGCCAAGGAATGGCCCCTGAGCACTGCCAAGTGTGGCCCAAACCCCATCCCCAAAAAAGCACTCACTGTGAGTTTGCCTGAGAAAGCCACGAGCAGAAAGTTCTGCCCAGGCATGTGAAACTGAAGAGGGAAAATCTGGTCCAGAACTCCAACTTTCTAACTCCTTCCTGGGATTTCTTCCTTCGGCTCTGAATTGCCAGAGCTGTCTCGTTACTGCCTTTGTCAGCAGGGCAGCAGCCACCATTTAGAGGGGCAACCAGGCCACCTAAGATACCCCTAAGATACCCTCTAAGATACCCTCTAAGATACCCCTGAGGGTATAACACTGCAATGTACAGATGGGCTTAAGCTTCGACTGAAGCGGAGAAGATTAAGGTTCAGGGGGAGGAGAGTTCAGTGTACGCCAAGGAGGTCTAACTCAAAGAGAAAGAGTTTGGCAGTCCTGCGTCCTCATCCCTCGCACCCAGAAGCCATGTGGGGAAAGCGGGTCGGCCTGCGGGAACTGACCTGGAACTCCTCCTCGCTGAGGCCCTCCGCCAGGGCGTGCTGGCGCAGCTCATCGGGGTCCTGGGCCCGGAAGAGGCGGCTGAGCAGGGCATAGATGTAAGGGGCTTCGGGGGAAGTCTGCAGCAACACCGCCAAGCCTCCATACCAGGCGGCGCGCGACAGGTGGTGGGCATAGAGGCGCTCTGAGGGCGACAGCAGGCGGAAGGCCTCGCGGCAGTCCAGGCTAGACACGCCGATGTCATTGGGCAGGATGTACTGGGTGTCCGCCATGGGCCCTGCTGAGAACCATCACCATCACAGGCGTCACTCACCACACCACATGCTCGGCACTCTCCTGGTCTCATATCCGCCCCCTAAAAGCCCAGGAGGCCAGGAATGCCATTAGACCCATTCACCAGATTTGATCACCGAGGCTCGGAGCTACACCACCTCACCCAAGGAGTGTGCAAACTAGACCGGTGGACTCTCTGTGGTCTTAAGGACTGACTCCAACCAGCTGGTCTTATAGATGGGGAAACTGATGCCCAGAGAGGCGAGGCACTTGGCCTCATGAGCCCACTGAGGTTTCAGACACCTGTCTAGATTCCCTTGGTCCTCCAGGACCCTGTGCTGCCTCCCCTCGTCCTCCTCTTCAGAATTCATGGGCTAGTTCTTCCTTTCCACCCGCGGCTGCGAACACCCAGGCAGGATCCAGAAACCAGCAGGAAGACCCAGGTTACCATCTGGGTGCTGCCCCCGGATCTCTCAAAACATTTTCACTTCTCTGGGCTTCCACTTCCGCCTCTGAGGAATGGGAGCGACAGTGACTCCACGCTCACCAGATGGGCGTGCATATTAGGCGAGAGCACCATGCACCGAAACTTTCCTTCCTTGCGGGCTGCGGCCAGGATGCGTCCCCGTCTCATCCCGCACCCTCCAGCCTCCAGCACGCACCGGCCGCGCAGCCACGCGTGCAGCCGAGGCATGAAGTTAGGCTCAGGGCAGAAAGAAAACTCGATTTCCATATTGGAGGCTGAGTCTCGAGGCGTGCGAGCCACTTTAGCAAAGACCTCACAGTCCCGGAGTTCCAAATCACTGTCCCTAACTCGGGCGGGTTCCCCGCAACCGCGGCCAGTGCCCACGCTCCGCCCCAAGGGCTCGATTCCCGGGATTCCGAAAGGGGTTAGTTAACCCTTGGCTGCCCTGGCCGTGCCTTGACCTCAGAGCCTCCAGAAACTGGAAGGGGTACTAGAGGGAGGGCAGAGAGAGAATGATCTTGCATTCGGTCCGGCCTCGCTCCGTTCCCCGTGGGTGACACGTTATGACCCCCAAGCCCGGGCGGCGCGCCTCACCTGCAGCAGCTGCTCTCTTCGCAAACTCACTTCCTGCTTCCGGCTCCCCCATTCATTGGGGCTCCGCGGGCTCCGCCCCCACCGACCAATTGTCGGGCCGCGGGGCCCGGATAAGCGTCAGCTCCAGCCAATGGGAGCGCGGGGGCGAGTCCCGCCCCCCCAGCCCAGCCCAGCCCCCGGGCGCTACGGAGACACGAGCGGAATGGCCCCAGCGGCCTCGGCCTTTTGTCCGCCGGCCGCGCTTGCGCCGGGCTCACTAATTTCAGCGGCCCGCAGGGCGGCGGCGTAGCCCCAACAGTCGAAACGTACAAGGTCCCGCAAGTCGGGACACAAGGTCTCGCAAGTCCGGTAGGACGACCCGGACTTCTCCGATCTGCACCCCTTTGCGACCCCCCCCTCCCCCGACCCCGTCCTTTCCCCCCACGCAGGGACCTCAGTTTTGCAGGTGGAAACCTGCACAATGGGAGGAAATGGTTCCTCCTTTCTCACTGGGCTGGAGGACTTAAAAGCTGGGGAAGGGACCAGAGCGATAGTACAAAGGGCGGGGCCCGGAATCCCATATGGTCCCCCGAGCTCCGCCAAGAGTAATTCCCGAGGCTGGAGCAGTAGCACTGCGGTTAGGGCGTTTGCCTTGCACGAGGCCAGCGCGGGTTCAATTCCCAGCATCCCATATGGTTCCCGGAGCACCACCAAGAGTAATTCCCGAGTGCAAAGCCAGGAATAACCCCTGAGCATCGCCAGGTGTGACCCAAAAAGCCACAAACAGGAAAATCTGGATAAGCCACCGTTCCTCATAAGGATTTATACCCTCCATTAACTTCATACAGCCATAACTCTGGGGCACAGAGACAAAACCTCACTGAGCCTCAGGAGTTATGGGGTGCTTGCTGGACTGGGAGCCTGCCTGCACCAGGGGCAGGGTCATGCCTGAGGTCCAGTTCTGCATGTTCATAGAGTATTCGCCCCGGGTCTGGGTGTAGAATGTTTCGCCAGGTGGGGCCACCAGGAGAACCTTGCAAGCATTCCCTTTCAGCGTAAGGGCAGAGTCAGCCATTGGAGATGGAATTAGCCTCCACAGTCCACCAGCTTTCTGGCCCTGAGTGAGCTGCTTAGCCTCCTACCTCTTGGCTTTCTCACCCAGAAAACCAGGCTGACGAACATCTCTTCTCTGCGACACACACTGTCCAAACTTCTGTCCCTGCAGGGGCGCCCCCTAATGTTGTGCAGAGTAGAGGTCTAGGCAAGGAGTGACCTGGTGAGATATTCTCCTTGCCACACCTTTGCCCCAGCTGTGTGCAGACTCAGGCCAGTATTTGCCCCCTTTCCGGTGCCAGATTCTCGGATACAAAGTCCTGCATAGCACAACAGGGCTATTCATCATTGGCCCTGATGATAGCTGTCTTTATAGGGGGAAACTCAGAGTATTTGTACTTGTTTTTAGAATGTCCATTTTTGTCTTTAAAGTAGGTTTAAAATCTTCACCAACTTGGGTGAAACTGCAATGTACGCCAGTAGAGGGCGCAGTGCTGCTGACATCTGCCATCAGGGAGCAACACAGATCAGTGATAATTTTTGCATTGCAAGTTGGACAGGGAGGGGAGACACCCAGGTGTGTGCTCAGGGCTTACTCCTGGCTCTGAGCTCAGGGATCACTCCTGGCGGAGCTCAGGGAACTATACAGGGTGCCAGGGATCAAACTGAGTGGCCATGTGCAAGGTAGGGGCCCTGCTGTACTATGTCTTCACCCCTAGGCCCCCGCATTTTTTTGGGGGGGTCACACCCGGCAATGCTCAAGGGTTACTCCTGCCTTTGCACTCAGGGACTACTCCTGGCGGTGCTCACGGAGGACCTTATGGGATGCTGGGAATCAAACCTGGGTGAGCCGCGTGCAAGGCAAACACCCTCCCCACTGTGCTATCGCTCCAGCCCCGCCCCTGCATTTTTATGATCACAGTGAATATGCAAACTTACTAACGGGCTGGAGCGATAGCACACCGGTAGGGCGTTTACCTTGCACTGGGCTGACCCGACCGACCCAGGTTCAATTCCTCTGCCCCTCAGACAGCCGGGCAAGCTACTGAGAGTATCTCACCCGCATGGCAAAGCCTGGCAAGCTACCTGTGTTCGATATGCCAATCACAGTAACAAGAAGTCTTACAATGGAGGCGTTACTGGGCCTGCTCTAGCAAATCGATGAACAACAGGAAGACAGTGGACAGTGGACTAACGTCCTGTACCAGTGGCTTGACATGGAGAAGCTCATTTAATGTTGTGCAAAGCCTGAGCTAGGATGTTGTCGTTTTACCCATTGTACTGATGAGCAAACCAAGGCTAATCGGTTCATTGACTTGGCAGGGGGGGCTCTCTGCCTGTCTTCAGATGTTCTGTTCCTCAGATTTCCCTCATATTATCCCTTCCACTCGCCTCACGTGTTTGCATGCCCACGAACGTTCATGCGCACAGCATCACATGGAACTTTCCACCATGAGAACCCGAGGCTGCCACCCTCCTCCTTGGCTCCTCTCCACCCCCCCAGAGAAGAGAAAGGGGTGGGTGAGGACGTCTTGAATTTATTATTAGGTACTACGACGTTCAGATTAGGTACTCCTCGTTCCCCTGGTGACAAAGAGCTGTTTATTCCATTGAACCGTGGGGCAGAGCGAGCCGCGCCCAGGGCGCCCGGGCTCTCCTTGACCGCTGCGCTGTCCCGCGGACGATGCTTACTTACCTCTCTCCTCCTAGAGCCCAGGCTCCCCCGCTGCCGAGGGGGGCGGAAAGTTCCCATCTGGTTCCCCACAGGTCAGAAGAGAACAAGTAGGAGGACTTGGATTCTGAGCGCTCTGCGTAGGGCGGGGGGTGGGTGGGTACAGCGCTCTGCAGAACCCACCCCTGGAGGCACTGAGCTGCTCCGGGAGCGAGACTTTGAGCCTATACGCCCCTCCCCGCCAGGGGGCGCTCTGCCCCCCCAGCCCAGATCTGGTCTCTGCGGCCCCAGCTCGTGGGGGCTGGGCCAGGCCGGCCTCTGCAACCTCCGTGCACCTGTCTTCCTAGCTCACCTCTCCAGAAGAGTCTGGGGGCAACCCCAGCAGCAGCCCAATAACAAGAACCCGACTATGTCGCCCCCCCCAGGCCCCCGTATCCTTTTTGATCCCCCTCCACACCTGGCTCGTTGCCTCCAGCCTATTCCCTGCCACGCCATTGCTCTCTCTCCTCCCCTCTGGGGTGCTCCTCTCTCTGGGGTTCCCTCCCAATGCCCCCAGAGGGAGCAGTCCACGGGGGTGGGGGCAGCTGTGGGCTGTGGATTTACCTGGCTGTGACCTGGGCGCTGTGGCTCCCCCTTTGGCGGCCAGGCGTGGCAGTACCCCCTCGCCGCTCTCCCCCCATCACAGGACATTCAGTAACCAACGCGAGAAGCCCGGGCGGCCACTCCCTGCATTTAGCAGTATTGGGGCCCCCCAGGCAGCTCATTCCCTACTCCCTCACCTGTCCACAGTCAGGGTCTCCTGCGCCAGCCTCAGACGCCGCAGCCCCAAGCCCCGCTGCTCACTCCAGGGAGGCGCATGCGCTCTGGGGCTCACCCCAAGCCTGTGGCCCGCCTCTCCCTTCTACCCAAGCCCCCTCCTCTGCCTGTGGACCCTGCGGGGGGGTGGTGGTCCCCAAAGACACCGAGGCTCTCCTCCCTTTCCCCGGCCTCTGCTCCCCCAAAGCTGTGCTGATGTTCCAATATCTGACTTGCTTCCACGAGCCCAGCCCCTCCACCAGGCAAGGTCCGGGGATGAGTCTCTCCCCAGAGGCCCTAGGCATTGGAGTCCAGCGGGTACCAGCAGATGCCCGGGCCGGCCTGCCACCCCTCCCCAGTCACTCCGGAGCGGGAGACGCTGCACGCACGCACACGCAGGCGCTGAGGGCAGCCGAGCAGCACGGTTTATAGAGGAACCCGGGGCAGCGGCGGCGGGGCGAGGGGCCGGGCAGGCTCGGGCACAGCCAGACTAAGCTGGGGATCAGGGACTGCGCCCCTTCACTCCCCCCGCGGGCACAGTGTGGGCGGCAGGATGTGGGCGGGGCAGGGAGGCGGGCTTCCCCCCACGCACCCCCGGGACAGCTGGTGCTGAGGGCCCCATCATTTAGACCGGGACTGGGGTCTCGGGGACCCCCGGGGAGACCGGATCTTAGGGGGGGGGACATTCGCTGTCTCCCTCCGGAGTGGCTGTGGTTGGCAGATGGGCAGTCCCACATGCAGAGCTCCCTGTAGGCTGCAGGAAGTGGGGGGGACCCGGACGGGCGGGCAGTAGCGGGGAGGGGGGGGCGCGCTGGGGCGCCTAGTCCAGCGGCCCCTGGAAAATGAGGCGGACGCAGCCGTGCTCGCCCGTGAGCCAGGCCCCGCAGAAGGGGCAGGCGGCGTGGAAGGCGTGCGTGCCGTGGGGCAGTGGAGTCTGCGCCCAGTAGCGGGCAGTTTTCTCGGAGCACACGTGGCCGCAGGGCGCGAAGGCATGGCTGGGCGGGCCGGGGTCCAGGCAGAGGCCGGCCTCCTGGCCGAGCCACAGGGGCACGTAGGGCCCCACGAGGCGGCAGAGCGGGCACTCGCGCTCCTGGGGGCCCCGCTCGCGCCGGCAGCCCCAGCCGTGGTAGCCGTGGACGTGGCCGCAGCGGACGTAGACCCAGGGCTGCTGCTTGTCCGGCGCCGTGCGGCCGCGGGCCGGGCTGGGGAAGGCCAGGGTGCTGAGGCCCACCGGGCACTGCGGCCGCGCCGCGTTGGCCTCCTGCCGCTGCGCCTCCAGCTGCTTCCGCGTGGGCGCCCGCTGCAGCCCGGCCGGCGTGCGCCACAGCAGCGTGGCCCCGCACAGGTCGATCAGGGAACCGTCCTGCAGCACGTTGGACTCGCTCTCCACCTGCGGGCAACGCCAGAGCCTGAACGGCCGCCACCGGCCCGGCCACCCCCGCGGGGCCTCCCTGAGGGTGCATCCCGGGAGGACCGGGATGGAGGGGGGGAGGGGCGAGGGCAGAGGAGAGAAGAGCTGGGGGGGGGCACAGGGAAAGAAGCGGGGGTCCCAGGAGGCGGGGCTCCGGCGCACAGCGGGGCACGGCCTTGGTGAGCTGGCTGTCCGCTCAGGAGTGGCCACAGTGCTTACCCGGGCTCCTCCCCACGGGGCCAGGCCGTTAAGGCTCCCGCTCCTGAACTCTGGCACTGGGCCCCAACCGCTGTCCTGCGGGCTGTGGTTCTAAGGGACCACCGGCGTTGGAGCGGAGGGTGGGGGGACTTCGCTCTAGACTCCACCTCCAAGGTGGGCTAACACAGCCTCATCCTCAGAAAGTGTGCCCCCTCTCAGGTCTCCTGCGACATGCAGAATCCAGCCCCTGAAAACAGGTGGCACGCCACGCCGAGAACACAGTTCAAAGGACACTTGTGAGCCACCCGGGAGCCTAACTTTTGAAAATCGCGGTTTCTCTCCCGGAGCGAGCCGCCTCTGCAGGGAGTACTACTGGGCGTGGCTTCCGATCGGACACGCCCATGGTGGGCGGGGTTATTCAGGGCCCGCTGTAGCGGGCTGGAGCGATGGTACAGTGGGTAGGGCGCTTGCCTTGCACGCCAGCGACCACAGTTCGATCCCCGGCATCCCGTATGATCCCCTAGGCACCTGACCCCAGTATGCACTGTCAACACCAAGGGCCATCAACCGCATTCCCACTTCGGAAACGGGTTCAGCGGTGTTGCTGCTATTTCCTGTCACTGCAGGGGTCTCTGGCGGCTCCTTGTGGAGTGTGCTGGGGCTCCTCTGTGGCAGGAGATCTATTCTGCCTTGGGGAGGGGACAGGCAATATCAGGGTGGAGGGACAACAGTGCAGCCACCTACCAGCTTCCCCCGCTGCTGGGCGGAGCGGCTGTCCCTCAGCGTGTACACGTTCCCGCACACCGAGATCTCCCGCCAGACGCCGGGCGCTGAGTCCTCGGCGAAGCCACCCGCCGGGTGCATGACCAGCACCCCATTGGTGGTCAAGCCATCCATGAGGCCGTCGGGGGTCCGCCATTTAGCCGCCCGCTCCTGGGACCAGATGAGGAATCAGAATCCGCCTTCCAAGTGCTTCTCTCACGGTGGGGAAGGGGGCCCAGAGAAGAGGGGTATCGGGGCTGTGTCACCCCAGACTTCACTTCTTGTTTGGTGCCTGCAGCAGGGAGTTGCCCATCACCCCAGGATGCTGCCCTTCCCCCACCTCCCACCACCTCTCTCTCTCAGAAGGTGCCCCCTGTGGGTGGGAGGGTCACTCACTCCAAGGAAGATGTTGCTGGAGGCGTCAAAGCCAGCGGCATAGATGCGGGCTGTGTAGGGCGGCCGGCGGTCGCAGAGGATGCGGCAGGCGTAGCGCGAGATGGTACTTTGGGCCGAAGGGCCCTCCGTGGCCGCGCCCCCCGGGGAGGTGTCTGTCACCACGAAGTCGATCATGTTTTCCGTGGAACGGCCGATCTGGGAGGAGGGGGAGGGCAGCACAGGGACAGGGTGTGCCCAGGTAAGCCCCCACCTGTGGGCAGGGCCACCCAGGAGCCGCTTCCCAGCTTCCGGCAGGCTGCCTTCGTGGGGTCTGACTTTCCTCCCCTCTTACCCCTGGAGCTCTAGGGAACGCCCCACTCCATAAAAACCCATGTGCTGGTTGCAAAGTGACAGGGGGCAGACGCAGAGATGGCACAACACAGGCTTCGCACGTTGGAGGCCCGGGCTCCATCGCCCGTGCCGCACTGACCCCCAGGAAGAGAAGAGAGGGGCATGGGTGACCTTCCCGGCACTTGCCCAGGACAGCTACTGTGGGCCCACGGGACAGACAGGGAAACTGAGGCAAAGACAGAGCAGTTAGGTGCCCAAAGTCACCCAGCTAGGAAGCGCTGGAGCTGGACTCTGCAGCCGGTCACCTTGACTCGCAGCGTACCCTGGACCCCTAAATTATGGTCTCCAATGGGGGGGGGGTGTACCTGGAACATGTCTGTGTCACTGTCGTGCGTGTACTCCACTATGACCGAGTGACTCCGTGACAGCGTGTACGAGATGCTGTGCTGGCCCCGGTTGCTCAGCGCCTGGGTGGACAAAAGGAGATGTCACCTCTCAAGGGTCGGCAGCCCGAGAAACGCGCCTTAGAACCAGAGCCAAACCCCGGGCCCAGGGCCCACTCCAGGGCGAGGGGCGTGGCACATGCCACAGACAGATGACTGAGCAGCCAGTGCAGGACCCGGGTCACCTGTGATGCCTACAGACACCCCCAGGCGACTCAGGGGTGCCCACCCCTTCCCACAGCTGAGCTCAAAGAACCTGATGACACCTGCTAGCCCCAAAGGGCTGTGCCTTTGCCGTGGCCCTTAGGGCCCCCCTCTCTGAGTCCTGTGGCCCCTAAGATGATACTGAGGGGCCAAGGAGAGAGCTCGGGGTGTGCAGAGACCTGTGTTCACCCCCAGACACTGTTTGCCCTCACCCCGGAGCACCTCCAGAGTGGCCCTGGGGACCTCTGCTCCCCCCAGCACCACAGGGCCTGAGCAGTACCACACTGCCACACCCTACATTGAGTCCCTCAGCCTGGTGAGCCAACTCTGATTCCCAGGCGTGGTCCCCGGGCTCGCTGAGCACTGCTGGGGAGATCCATCAGCCAGGGAAAGTGAATAAAATAAAATAATGCTACATGTTTCCCCAATGGGGATCTGGTGGACAAGTAAACATGCATGGGCCAAGCGTGTACAGTGCACAGGGCCCCTGTCAGCCTTTTTTCCTGCAGCTCAGGAGGCAGCGGGTGAGGACGACACTGCGGGCATCCTATCCCCTAGGGTGCTGTGGGCAGGCCGGTCCCAGAAGGCAGGATGCTTGGGGGCGCGCAGGCCCAGGACACCGATGCAGGATGGCAGCTTGCCTTGGAGACCAGCGGGGTGGAGATGTGGTGCATGACGTCTGGCTTCACTCCGTTGGCATGTGGCCGGCGGCTCAGCGCCAGGCGGCTTCGCCGGCGGCCCTTGTCCCCACTTGCCAGACACCCATTGTAGCTGGAGGAGGGGAGCAGGAAGAGGGGGTGCAGGGAAAGAGAGAGGAGAGAGAAAGAGAGAGAGAGAGAGAGAGAGAGAGAGAGTTATCTCCTAAAAATGACACGGGACTGCCGACCTTGGGGCAGATCCCAATAAACACACCTGAGACCCATCCCAACTGCTAAGGCACTACTGAACATCTTCAAAAGGCCTTTCGGGGGGCTGGGGAGACAGTACAGCGGGTAGGGACCTTGCCTCGCACGCGGCAGACCCAGGTTCAATCCCCAGTACCCCATATGGTACCTCAAGCTTTGCCAGGAATGACCCCTGAGCAGAGCCAGGAGTAAGCCCTGAGCACCGCCAGGTGTGGCCCACACAAAAAATAAAAACTTTCAGTCAAGAAATCAGTGTTTCAGGGCTGGAGAGATAGCACAGTGGGTAGGGCATTTGCCTTGCACGCAGCCAACATGGCCGACCCAGGTTCGATTCCCAGCATCCCATATGGTCCCCCGAGCACCGCCAGGAGTAATTTCTGAGTGCATGAGCCAGGAGTAACCCCTGAGCATCGCCGGGTGTGACCCAAAAAGCAAAAAAAAAAAAAAAAAGAAAAAGAAATCAGTGTTTCCTGGGAACCTCACTCATGCCTGGCTGGGTGCTGGGCACTAAGGTGACACAAGTGATGGGCACAGGTCAAAGGTCAGTTCTATGCCCTCAAGGAGGAAGAAAGATGCCCTTAGCTTTTTAAGAAACTTGGGCCCCACCCACCATGCCCAGCACAGGCTAGACACAGCCCAGCCTGAATTCAGGAGAAGGGACTTCAGGACCCAGGTTCTGAATTCCAGGATCAGAATCTCTAGTGACTGACCAGAACAGCCTGCAAGGGACCGGGCAGGGGACCCAGCAGCATTTCCTCCGATGAACCAGGCCAGCAGTGAAAATCAGGCTGTGTGGGGCGCCCCCCTGTATATGCCACACAGATCAACTTCCTTTCAGCCCCTGTCCTGAGGGAATGGTGGGAGAGGCAAGACCTAGCAAGTCACAGCCTTGATCGTTGCCCGAATCCGGATCCGGATCAGAGCCTCCTGCTCCTGGAGCTTCACGCCATCAATGATCTCACAGAATCTGAGCAGTGTCCTGCACGCAACTGGCCCTCTGCCCATTTTAGGAGGAGGAAAGTCGAGGCTCAGGGAGATAAAAATGACTTGCCTGAGGTCCCGGGTGAGTTGAGGGAGAAAAACGCAGATTTGAACCCGGGCCTGCCTGACTCTTGAAGGTGGAGGCTCGCCCGGCAACAGGCTCGGAGGCTGGCAGGGCTTGGGCACGGGACATGCAAAAGGCCACCGGGGAAGAAGAATCGGGTGGGAGGGGGGCACAGTGTGTGAAGTGTGGACATTGTGTGAGTACGGAGGAGTCGTGGAAGGTTCGGGAGCCGGGAGGCCAGGGATGACCAATCTCCAAACACTGCCAAACACTCGAGCCTCCTGGTGGATTCTCATTCTGTGGGTGTGGGAGGGACTCACTGGTGAACTTTACACCTGTGGAGCCCATCCAGTTTCCCCAGCTCTGCAGACACCTGCTGGCTGGTCTAGCACCTGTGTCCTACGTCCATGGTGTCCCGCAGACACTCGTCTCCGAAAACGCCAGCAGCTGCTTGGAGGAGGGGCTGCTGTGCCCTGGTAAGCTCTTCCCACCAAGAAAAACTGGGGTGAGTCAAGACACAGTCTCGGGACTCAACAGGGCCTCATTGAGTTCCCTCTTCCACTTCTAGCCCATGTGAAATGGCCTCTTTGAGCTGGAACCAATTCACCAGGAGGATTCATCGTGAGAACGAGGCAAGGTGTTCATTCCAGGCCGGCGTGATACATGATAGGACAGTGGGGAGGGCGCTTGCCTTGCACACAGCTGGCCCGGGTTCAACTCCCACCCCCCCCCCACCTCCCCGGCATCCTATATAGTCCCCCTGAGGGATCCAGGAGTGATCCCTGAGCTCAGTGCCAGAAATAAGCCCTGAGCACTGCCGAGTGTGGATGGAAAAAATAAAAATAAAGAAGAAGAAAGCATTTCAGGGTACATGACACTGAGATTGGCACTCTATCCACTCTATCGCCGTCCCGTGATAATTGTGGGCGGTTATTATTCAAAATAATAGCACATTGCCTCTGTCTATCAGCCAACAGCAGCCATTATTATTTCTAAATAATTAACATCGTGGTAACAAAGCTTGTTGGCTACTTCCTCCTGACAGATGGCAGCGTCAGAGGCCAAAGAGGGGCTGAACGGAGGCGGACGAAGAGGGCTCTGCTGGGGAGGGGGAGCGCGGGGGGAGGTGGGCTAAGAGGCTGGTGCAGGGGTCCTGGGCAGGAGATGGCCAGGAAGGGAGGAGGCCTCACCAGCCACCAGCTCCTGGCGTTTTCTCGCTCCTGGCTAGCCACGTTCTCGGCTGTGGCTTAGACCTAGAGCAAGAAAGACCCTGGGTCTGAATCCCAGCCCTGCCACTTACCAGCTGTGTGCCCTTGGGCCAGTCACTTCCCCTCTCTGAGCCTCGGTTTCCTCACCTCCTTCCTCACAGCATCTTGGTGAAGATTGAAATGAAATAATGTCCATGAAAGGGCTGGGCACAGGCCTGCCTCCCAGAACACCTGCTATGGGCCAGGCACTGGCTTACGTGCTTGGCAGAAGCCGGCTCACGCGTTCTTCCGGCCGGCCCAGTGGCGTCCGCCTATTCGCAAACGGGGGCAACGAAGGCCCAAGGAAGTTAAGTGATTCGCCGAGGCAGGGCTGCAGCCGGTTTTTCTCCCCACATCACCCCTGCCAGGCGCTCAGTGGAAGGAAGCTGGCGGCACTTCTGCCTCCCCTGGAACTTGGGTGCGCCCTGAGCGTGGTGGCAGCGGTTTATGGACAGCGGCGAGGGATTGCAGCCACTAGGCACGGAGGGGGCTCGGCCACCTGTTGGCTGGGGCAGTCTGGGGGAACACAGGGCCCTGCTCTGGCCGCACTGGGGGCTACCTGGTGCCCACCCCCCACCCCGGTCCAGGGCTGCTCACCCCAGGACGATGAGTTCGCCATACTTGATGGGCTCCTCGCCGGGCTGCGCATCTTCGCCAGGGCAGGAGAGCACGCAGGAGCTCTGGTTCCCGGGGTGATGGAGGTCTGAGGTTCGGGGAGACCCCACGTCAGGGTTTCCTTCCAGCACCATTCTGGCCAGAGGGGGAGGGGAAGAAAGCAGCTTTGCGGCCGCCCGCTCCAGGCGCCCTGGACACCAGCCCTGGCCTGCCGCGGGGAGGCCTCTTAGGCTAAGGCCAGTGTCACCACCTCCGTCACTACAGCCACAGTCTCATCTTCGCCTACCCCAAACTGGGCTGCTGGGATAGCGAGAAGGGAGATGGACGGGCAGGAGCCTCAGGAACCTAGCAGGCTTCCGAGCTCATGGTACACAGGACAGGACCAAAGGGCTGGGCCGCTGGGGTGGCCAGAAGCTTCTTTCTGGCCCGGATCCCAGTCTGGGGGTGCTGGGAAGACGCGCCGAGGCCCCTGATGCCTGGTTTCAGCTCCCGGGCCGTGAGTAACGCTGCTGTCGGGCGCGGGAAGCCATCTGTCCGTCTTCATCTTTCTGTCCCTTGGCGGGTCTGGGCCTCCGTCTGTCTGTCTGTTTCCTGCATGACTCTCCGTCCTCCCAGCTGCTGTCCTCCCCGTCTCGGTCTCTCTGCCCACCTCCCGGTCCCCGTCCACCTGCCTCAGTCTCCCCATCCTGCCGACGCCCTGCGGGCAGGCCTGGCCGGGTTCCCGGGGCGCGTGCCCTCCCTCCCTCAGGTGTCCGCCCGCAGTCCCCGGGCCGCCGGTCCCCGCTCGGGCCGGGGCTGCAGCAGCGTGACGGCCGGGCGCCTACGCAGCTCCACCGCCGGCGGGTCCCGCAGGCCGAGCCCCGCGGCGGCCACCCGCGCCGCGACCCCCGGACGCGCAAACACGCCCCCAGCGCCCGCCCGCCGGGCCCGCCTCGCGGGGTCCCCGCGCCTTCACCTGTCGGCGCTGCGGGCCCGCTGGCCGCCGCTCCCTCCCCGCCTCGCCCCTGCTCGGCCCCGGGGCCGCTGCGGCGGGATGGGCCCGGCCGGCGGCCGCTCGGCGCTGCCTCGTCACAGGGACACCCGGGGCCCGGGGAGGGGGACCAGCGCGAGCGCCACGCTCCGCCCCCGCCGAGGCCCCGCCCCGCGGAGCCCCGCCCACCAGGCTCCGCCCACTTGCGGCGAAGCTCGGGCTTGGCGCTCCGCCCCTTCCCGAGGCCACGCCCCGTCCCCGGGCGGCCCCCGGGTCCTGGGGACCCCGCCCACCTCGGGGACGTCCTCGCCCACCCGGCCGCGGCTCCGGGACTGCCCCGCAGTCGGAGGGACCCCCCTGGGGACTCCCTGGAGCCTCCTCGCTCCCTGCAGTCTGGGGTCTCCGCATGGGTGGCAGGACCTTCCCAGGCTTAGGCTGGAGTCCCCCCACCTCCCGCGGGAGACCCCGCCTCCCAGCTGGGGGAGCCGCGGAATTCGGGGAGAGAAGACAGGAGGGGGCGGGAAGGAGTGAGGGAAAATACTAGAGTGGGCGGGGAAGGGGGCGTGCGTCAGCCCCGTGGCCCAGGTGAGTCGCGGTCCCCCTGCCTCTGGTGCTCCTGACCCCTGGGCAGGCAGGCCACCTCCCCTGCCCTCTTCGTCGTGGACACAGCACACGAGAGGTCACCGACTGGAGAGACGCCGTGGGGAGACGCGCCTCCCTCCCAGAGATACCGCCAGTAATTCCTGCGATGTAGGCATGATAATTGCCCATTGTATAGATGAGAACAAACAGGTTTACCAAAGTGACTTGCTGGTGATTATTTTGCTAGAAAGGGCCCAAGCTGTCAGCTAGGTGACGCTGAACTTCCGGACCCTGACAGTAGGAGTCGGCAGGGCAGAAAGAGCAGGAGACGCTTTCCATCAACTCCCACCGTTCACTGTAGTCTGTTTAAACTATAACCATGAAGGAGCAAAGTACGAGCAGTTAACTCTCAACCTTGGAGTGTGCATTTTTGGAGGAAACCAAGGAGGGCTACACAGAGGAGGTAGCTTTGGCCCCTGTCATGAAGGATAAGTGGAAATTTATCCAACATTCCTAAGGGGGAGCATTTGCCTCCCCGCCCCCCCCCCCCCGACTTGCTCCTTGTGAAACTACCCATCTCCCTGGCTCCCCGGGAAGGACCCCACCATATCCACACACCCTACTCCCCCACTTAAAAATAGCCCAAGCCACCAACTGCTTTGCCAACTGTTCTGGGGCCTGAGCAGCCGCCAGCGTGTCATTCAGGGACAAAGGCACTCATGAATCAAAGGGACACCCCTGACGGGCATCCATCAGGCACGCGGCAAGCCCCAAGTCCCACACGCCTCTGCAGGGACAGCCAACGCAGGACCCCGGCACGCAGGGCCAGCCCCATACCGTGGTACTCTCCACTTCCAGCACATCTCCTGCTAGGCAGGCCCTCTGGAAACCGTTCCCATGACTGTTCGCACCTCCAGTTTACAGAGGAGGAAACTGAGGCCAGGATCAGGCAGGAGATACTTACTGGCCCCAAGGCCCTGGTGCTGAGGGTGGCCCAGTTCAGGCTCACGCTGACACGGGGCAGATTTCTCCTGGGCTGGAGCCCAGGAAGCAAAGCTGTTTGCTGGGCCTCCAGGAACCTGGGTGGGCCTGGCCCCCGCATTGTTCAACTGGGGCAGAAGGAGAGAGGGTGTCTTCCAAACACCCCCCACCACCACCTCAGCAGGTCCAGATGCCACACACCCTGCTTGGCCCCAGTTCAGAGTGATGGGTTCTGTGCCAGAGACTCAGCTTCTGGGACTGGAGAGATGGTGCAAGGGGAAGGCACTTGTCTTGTGTACAACAAATAGGGGGTTCAGTCGCTGGCACCCCAAGCAGCTGCCAGGAATGATCCCCGTGCATGGAGCCAGGTGTCAGCCCCCAGCACAGCTGAGTGTGGCCCCCCCAAAACACACAACAACAACAAAAATGAGTTCCAGCCTCTCTCTCCCTGTCTGGGCTCCAGGGTCTGTATTCGTCAGACTGTTCAGAAACAGTCCTTGTGGGAAATTGCTGACAAGTTCAGCGCATTGCTCTGAAATCCCTCTTCCAGCCTCAACCTTCTCTGTCTATATTTAGAAGAAAGGGACCAAAAAAAAAGGGATCAAAATGGAAAGAAACAGAAATCAGGGGCCAGAGTGATAGTACAGTGGGGAGAGTGCTTGCTTTGCACACGGCCAAGCTGGGTTCGATCCCCGGCATCTCATATGATCCCCTGAATCAGATGGGATGTATAAATCAGGAGTGATTCCTGAGTGCAGAGACAAGAGTAAACTGAGCATCGCTGGATGTGACCAAATAAAAAAGCCCCCCCAAAAAAATTGAAAAAGAAAAAGCAGGAAGCAAACCTATACTTCCATCCTTGGGTTCAAGTGCCAGGGTGGGTATAACCGGTGGGAAGAGTTGTATGTCAGCTTGAAAAGACCTGGGAGTGGCCAGGAGCCTGCGCAGTCAGAACCGCGTGCCCCCACCCCAAAGGTCTGCTGAATCCTTGTTGTTTGCTTCTTTGCTTAGGGGTCACACCTAGGGATGCTCTGGGGTGACGCCTGGCTCTGCACTCAGGGATTACTCCTGGTGGTGACTGGAAGATCATATGGGATGGTGGGGATGAAACCTGGGTCGGCCACGTGCAAGGCAAACGCGCTGTGGTTCCGACCCCAAGTCTGCAGCCTCGGGACAGTAATCTGCACCGTTCTGGGCTCAGGAAGGTCGCTGCTGAGAAAGGCTGCCGGTGCTTGGGGCCCGAGAGCCAACAGGACAGGACCTCACGGACGTGGCTTGGCAAAGAAGAGCTGGGACTTGGGACAGCAGGCTTCAGGGATGTAACTGGCCCTGAGACCTCAGGGTCCTCACATGCCGTGACCCCAGGAAAGCTGCCTCAGAGCCGGGAAGCAGTTCCAAGTATGAGAGCGAGGAAGCAAGACTCAAAGGATAGGCTGGAGCGATAGCACAGCGGGTAGGGCATATTACCTTCCACACAGCCGACCCAGTTCGATCCCCAGAATCCCATATGGTCCCCCAAGCACTGCCAGGAGTAATTCTTGAGTGCAGAGACAGGAATAACCCCTGTGCATTGCCGGATGTGACCCAAAAGCGAAAAAAAAAAAAAAAAGACTGAAAAGACAAAAGGACAAGGCCAGGAGAGTTGGGGGTATCGGGGAAGGTGCTTGCCTGGCAGCTGAGCCGGGTGTCATCCCAGCACCACACAGGGACCCCTGAGCCCTGCCAGGATCTAGCCCCGAGCTCAAAGCTGAGCGCAAACCCTGTTGGGTGTGGCTCCAGAACAAACAGGTAAAAGACTCAAGGACCGAGTCTTTGAGTCTTTGAGTCTAAATCTGAAACGGGAGATGCAGGAGGAGCATATGGGGTCACCCCTTTGTGTGTGGGGGTGGCCCGAGCATGCACCCCGAGCAGTGTAGCAGACGTGCCCCCTAATAATCCCACCCAGGCATGCCCTGGACATGAGCAAGTGGGGCCAGCTGCGGGCGGATCCTGTTTCCCTAGGAAGGTGCTGGCGGCCACTATCAATGAACCCAGGGAAGTGAGGTCCAAGGGGCTGCTGGCGCCCTGCCAAGCTGCCTGGTGGGCAGGTGGTAGCAGGAAACCATGCATGCCAGCAAATGCTCGTTCACAGGCCTGCCAGGCTGAGGCTGGGTCCAGGAAGCAATGACGTGGGTCCCAAGTGACCCCACTTTCTTTTTTCGCTTTTTGGTCACAGCCGTCAATGCACGGGGGTCATTCCTGGCTCTGTGCTCAGGAATCACTCCTAGCGGTGCTCAGGGGGAACCATGGGAGATGCTGGAAATCGAACGTGGGGTGACCACGTGCAAGGCAAACGCCCTCCCCTCTGCGCTATCGCTCCAACCCCGTGACCCCTCATTTTACAGTGCCACAGGATGTGGAGACACAAGGAGCAGCCCAGCCAAGGTCTGACACCCATGAGGCACTCACGGTAGAGGGGAGCAAACTATCAGTCGTCCAGATAGGGTCCCCCACCCTGGCCTGAGGACCTTCAGCATGACCAGGACAGACTTACTGTCTAAGAACTACCTATGGACAAAAGAATGTGGAGGCTGAGCATGTTCCAGAAGAGAAACAGAGAAAGCTGGAGATAAAAAAACACAGGAGTAGTTCATGGGTTCTGGGCACTTGCCCGGGACACATATGGCTGTGAGTTCAAATCCCTGGCATCCCACATGTGCTGAACCCTACCCTGGGATCCCTGTGGTCTCTGGTTTCACAAGTGTATACCATAAAATACCATAAAAAAAAAAAGGAGCAGTTTTCTATGTTCATTACAGCAGTGTTCAAAATAACCAGAATCTGGGAATGACTCGAGTGCCTGAGAACAGATGAGTAGATTAAAAACTATGGTGTGGGGCTGGAGTGATAGCACAGCGGGTAGGTCGTTTGCCTGGCATGCAGCCGACCCAAGTTTGATTCCCAGCATCCCATATGGTCCCCTGAGCACTTCCAGGAATAATTCCTGAGTGCAGAGCCATGAGTAACCCCTGAGCAGCGCCAGGTATAACCCAAAAAGCCAAAAAAACGAAATAAAATAAAAACTATGGTGCAGAGTGATAGTACAGTGAGTAGGGATTGTATGCCTTGCACATGGCTGACCCGGGTTTGATCCCTGACATCCCAAATGGTATCACTAGAAGCAATTCCTGAGTGCAGAGACAAGAGTAACCCATAAGCATTGGAAGGTGTGAACCAAAAAGCTAAAAACCAAAATTATGGTGCATCTACACAGTGGAATATTATGCAGTGGTGAAGAAAAGTGAAGTAATGAAATTTGCTTCTACATGGATGTGTGAAGTTAGTCAGAGGGAGAGGGACAGTTAGAGAATGATCGCACTCATTTCAGGATATAAAAATATATATTATGAGATTAATCCTTTATATTTAGAAACAAGGGAGCTTGGGGCTGGAGCGATAGTACAGTGGGGAGGGTTTTTGCTTTGCACAAGGCTGACCCTGATTTGATCCCCAGCATCCCATATGGTCCCCCGAGCACTGCCAGGAGTAATTCCTGAGTGCAGAGCCAGGAGTAACCCCTGAGCATCACCAGGTGTGACCAAAAAGCCAGAGAGAGAGAGAG